ATATAAAAGAAAATAAAAATAATTAAAATAAAAGATAATAACAAATTATTGTCTGAATCGATAGTTCAATTGTTCGGGCCAATAGGTTGTTGACCAAATCAACGGTTTTTGGCCCAGGAATAATTTTAGGGTAAAACATAACCGGTTCTTAGATCAACCAGTCCCGTTTTCAAAACCATGAATTTAGGGACACTTCACACAATTTCCGTTAACCAAACAAAGAACCATCCATCAGTGGGTTAGGCAATAGGTCATGGGAATCTCCAATTGTTTAGGTATAGAAGCACATCCCTATGGGTGAAATCATCATATAGGTTGGTCATTCAGACCATAGAGAAACCAACAAAGCTATGTGAGTATATTATATAGTTATATCCAAGGTTTTAAAACCAGATTGGATAGGGAACTGTTCTGGGGATCGGTTCCTGTGTCGAACGGTCCGACCATTTGGACCACAAATGGATCGTCTATTTTGACAAAAAAGATAAAATAATTAAAAAAGGGCAAAAAATCATTATCAAAATCGATGGTTTGACTGCCAGGGTCAGCAATTCATTGACCAAATCAACGGTTTTTGGCCAAAAAGTAATTTTGGGGTGAAACGAAACCGATCAGGTGACTAGTTCCTAGTTTTTTTTTTTTTTCAACCATCCAGTCCAGTTTTTAAAGCACTAGTTATTTCAAGAATCAAATCTTGCATTCTTTGGCACGAACCCAACCACAACAATTTCATAAGGAAAATTGAGTTAAGTGGGTGACGTGGATTGTGGATAAAAGGTTGATCCCTAGACTTCTAAGCAAGGTTTTAAAATCAGATTGGACAGGGAATCATTAGGGGACCAGTTCTTGGGTTGAATGGTCCAACCATTCGGACTGAATGGACTGTCCATTTTGACAAAAATATATTAAATATAAAAAAACGACAAAAAGCTGTTATCCGGGTTAATAGTTCAACGGTTTGACTGCTCGGGTCAGTAATTCACTGGCCAAATCAATGGTTTTTGGCCAAAAAACGGTTTTGGGATGAAATGGAACCGATCAAGTGACCAGTTCTCGATTTTTCCAGTCTGACCATCTTGCCTGATCTAGTTTTGAAGGCATTGCTCCTGAGGTGAGTGGACCCAACCAAATTCAGATCGCATCTGAATGGTAAACAGTTTTTGGTGAAAATGGTAAACAAGTTATTGTCCCAATATCCAATATACTTGTGCATCAGGGATGATCATATGCTGTCCAAATTTGGTAGGAAAAGAAAATTATCAGATCAGGTTCGGGTTCATTTCAAAATATGAACTTTGATAGATGATTGAAATCCAAAATATGAGTATGAGTAAAGTCGGATCTTGGATTGTATCGTTTCGTTTAAGGGTGTCAATGGACCGGTTTTGGATTGGATCCCATCCAGTCCAAAATCAAATTGGATGGATTGGGCGGACCAATAAGACATATTGGGTTGGATCAATTTGGTCTAAAATATTTATTAGATTGGATTGGACTTGATCCGTCCATAACAAATTTATATTCAATTGGTTTGGATTAAGTCAATATTTGATCCATTTATATAAGATAAGAATATATGTGCCAATAGACCGAGTTTGAGTTGAAACCAATCTAAATCAAAATAAATTTGAATAGATTGGATAATCCAAACATTAAATTGGACCGGTCCAAATTAGTCCAAAACATTCACTGGATTGGATTGGACCTGGTCCATTTATAATGGACTCACATTGGACTTGATTGTATTGGACCAGATCCACCCCAATTGATACTCCTAGATTTCCGTTTCATCACGTTGCGTTGAGAACTGGGAAGGGAAGAATATGAGGTCTGGACGCATGCTTATTTCTTATTGTAAAAGTCTTTGTAAAATGTGCCTTCTTCATTACAGTGAATATGGCGTCATTTCTCAACCTGTGTGAGACTGTCGTTAGGAAGTTTCAAACGAAAGGAATGGACCAACGGACTTCTGAATTAATCCAACTTCAGTCCATTTTATATATGGATGATTTATGGTGTGGACCGGTCCGAGTTCATACCGTCTTTAGGATTGTCCAATCCGTCCATACCACTTTCGATTTGGGCGGTGTCCAACCCAAAACCGGTCCATTGACATCCCTACATCAAAGGGAAGTTGCAAGTAAAGGGTTCATTCCTTCATTAAAACCCTATCCAAGCCAAAACCAATTTGGATGGATTGGATCAACCAATAAGACATATTGAATTGGACCAATCCAAACTTAGTGGTCCAAAATATTTATCGGATTGGATTGGACCTGGTCCATCCATAATGAATTTACATTGGACTAGGTTGGATTGAGCCAATATCTATTCCATTTATAGAAGATAAGAATATAGGTGTTAATGGACCAGGTTTTGGTTAGAACCAATCTAAATTAAAACATATTTGAATAGATTGGACGGTTCAAAAAATTCATTAGATTGAATTGGACCTAGTCCATTTGTAATGGACTCACATTGTATTGGGTCGGATTGGACCAAATCCAATCCAATTGATACCCATAGTTGTAAGCATTGGGGAGTTTGTCATACACTTACCCGGATAAGTGCATTTACCCATGTTCTTTTATTTCCCAAGTAAATAAGGTAATAACCATTTTAATCATAGAAATCCATTATTAGAAGGAACATTTTTTGTCCCATTCAAGTGTTGACAATTTTCTTCTATGTGGAAAAGTTATTTATCCACCTAAAAGATGGGTATCACTTTCCTAGGTATTACATAAAGATGAAAAAGAAACATAGGATTCTTGGTCAATAAGAAGCAAAATCCCATTAACCAATTTTCCCCCTCTTGAAATAAAAAAAAAACGCCCCCTAAGAGGAGTCTCGATTTCTTGCCCACATCTACCCACATAATATCGCAGTCACACATGAAGAACATCTCATCCTCCTACATAACATTATGAAGGAAGAGATGTTTACAATTCATGAAATAATGTGTTGTGGCCCTTGTGGGTAGACTGTGCGGAATTCTCGTGGGCAGGAGATCAGGAGTCTCCTAATATAGTGGCATTTTTAATAAAAGAAAGTCTAAAAATCTAAAAACACCCTTCACACGTAAAGTTTCAACAATATGGGTATAGATAATAAAAATTCTACAATTTTTATATCTTTATCGGTGGACAACAATTTTTATCCAACGTGACAAGACCTTGGAGGCTGGAAATATTTGATGCCTGTCACATTCTAACCAACCATTGGATCAAGCGACCCCAATCACCCACGGACAATTTCTATGCCCTAGGGAACCACTTAGAACTGGACGTCACCAAGTACATCTTGATTTGGATATTTGTGGTTCGCACACCTACAACATATCCATTTTTGTCACTTGGCAAGTCCTTTTCAAACTTTCCGGTGGGCTCAGTTACACTCTTCATCGTTAATTTGCCGCCACATCTCTATCTGCTTTCTTTCATCACAAGGATTGATAGGTCCCATAAAATTGAAATTGATAAACTATAATCCAAAACTTAATGAATACGCAAACAGTTGAGTGATTTGGATCGGCTGATACTGATGTGATAAGTTTAGCCACGTGTACTTTGTCAATTAGTTGCTTTAGCATTTCTTTACTGTATAGTTAACGGTTTTTAGAGAATACGACTTGTATGGACAGGCCCAACGCAGATTTCTAATTTATAATACAGAACTATAAACATTCAAAATATCAATAATGTAAGCTTATAAATTCTGACCCTAGACTGAATCGTCATTCTCCTATATTCTTAACCTGCGTACCAGTTGATTCATCATCAGTGACCAGCCCAGGTTTTCAGATCCATTCAGCTCTAAATTGTGTCATTCTGAATTTGATTCCTTCGAGCGTGGCACTAGCTAAGGACTCAAACCGGGGACTGGAGGCTTTTTGGGTTGTGATGAATGATGACTTTTATGGTTTTTCACAGGCTGGATTGATTAATCGCCCAATTAATCAGCAAAACTGGAGCCCCTGGAACATTCTTGATTTTAGTCTGGTTCAAGTCTTACAACATTGCTCCAAAATCTAAATCACCTGCTTTCAGAAGAAGAAATGAAGAATAACCAGAACAAAAATATATGCACCTCTCAGTTTGAAAGGAGTACAAATGTAAATATATACAAAATAATATAAATTAGAAAATTCTGCACTCTACATATTTATATTTGTACTCCTTTCAAACTGAGCCAAACAAATCACCTGTTTTTAGAAGAGAAACAATTCCTACCTATTCATCAATATTCATTTTCACTGCACCCAGAGGAGGGGGCGGGTGCACTGCTCATTGCAAAATGGAAAGTCTGCCCTGACTATGAGGCCCCTGACTTTAATTAGAATAAATCTTTTATTAAAAATACATCGGCTTATTCGAGATGATTTGATGATTTAATGATCCAGCATTGTTCAATTTGGTGAATAGATTAGATTATAGGTGAAACATTAATTCTCTTTCTCTTTTTATTTTTAGTCATTTTCATTAATAATAATAATAATAATAATAATAATTTTATTTATTAAAATTAATGAATCTAGTATTTATTTCAGTCCAACAACTTGAGGCGACAGCCCCACTTATTTGCATCTTATATCAAAGTTAATTTTATGAAGCAAGATGATAAATGTTTGGGCAATTTCATTCTAAAGCCTCACCACACAAATCAGAGTTATGTTGGTCTTTACTCGTTGACAAGGAAATCTCACACTCTATCTCAGTAGGGCTCGTGACTTCTGGTGGGGACTGGGGAGGTACTAGAGAGAAGAATTATTGCTACCTACGAGCCTGGTCTTGTTTCAACCGACCAAAAATGGGAGGGTACCAGTAGCATTACCCAAGAAAACTCAAAATTGCCAAAATTCTAGACATACTTCCACGTACAGGATCTATGAACAGATTTTATATAATTCATTTGCCCAACCATGCTTTAAGGTTCAAGTAATTTGATTAATTTGTAAATTTTAATACAATTCAATATATTGGGAAAATAAGAAAGAATCATAACAAATTAAATTCAATGTCCTTGACCTGTAATTCTGTAAATATTTTGAAACCCATGGAACGACCTTTCTTTAGGGTGTGCCTTTGGGACTCACAACCACCCAAAAAAATAAATGAGAATAAAAACCAGCAACAAAGAGAATGGATACAACAGATATGCCACTATAGATGTCCAAAGGGGAAAGACATTGCAGAAGCCTGAAACCAGACCCATGACAATGCAAACAATAAGAACAACCAACACTTCTGCTGAGAAATCCCATGCCAATCCACGAATATAAACTAGGACAAGGAAGATGGATATGCCCACAATGTTGTTCATGAATACCGCACTGTATATCTGCAAAAAAAAAAAAAAATCAATAGAAACTTGAAGTCGATCGTCATTACTGAATCAAAAAGAAAATAAACGGTACTTCTGAATTCTGATCAATGGTGAAAATTGGTTAAATATTGAGTCAAGGGAAGAAACAAACCTCAGAGAACGTTAAAGAAGCAGATCTTTGCTTTTTCTGTCTTGCAGCAGTGATTGCTGACACCGCTTCTCTATAGTTTACAGCCAAAGGCAGAAAAACAAATGAGATGAAGAATGATGGAATATTTGCAGCGGTAGAGAAGCTCTGGGCAGCATCTAGGAGTGGCTCTGAGAGTACGGCTAGAATAGTGGTTCCAAGAAGTAATAGAAATGCAGCTTTAGCGTAAGACCATAATGATTTATCATCAACTGCTATACTTTTATCCTGTCGGTTCACAAGCTTCTCTTGCTCTTCCTCACTACTTTTCTGTACATTGTCATTTTAAAGCTTGATATGGTTCATAACATTTTGAAAAAAAAAAAAAATTAAAAAACAGCAACCTCAGATAAGTTACCTGAGAAGGTTTTCTTGACAAATTCCTCCGGTGATGGCTTTGGTTTTCAGTGGTTTGCTGCGACTCTTGAAGCCATTTTGAAATTCCTCTGACAAACTCGGCTTCATCAATATGGGCATCACCTGAAGTATCAAACTCTTTCATTACTTGCACCGTGAAACCATCCTTAATCAGACCAATCTCTTCAAATTGGATCCCTAAGATCAATGCTCTTAGTTCGGCAGGGGATATGTATGCATCTCCATTCTGGTCAATTTTCTGAAATAACCTATATTTGTGTGCAAGAATGATATATTGACTAGATTTAGAAAACTATAAATTAAGAGAGTTTCATTAATTAAAAATAAAATATATATCAACTAGAAAGTTATATACTCTTTTATAACAGTCATATTAGGCTTTCCATCATTAGTGAGGAGCTTTTGTAGTAGGTTGTCTTGTGCATATTTATGCCACAAATATTCAAGTCTTCTATTCTGGATCCATGGTTGAAATACCTGCAACAAAATTCAATATAGTATAAATTAAGAAAAAATTAGAATTTTAATTTAAATAAATCAATGTTGAGCAAAAACTTTATAATTTTTTATATATATATATATATATTTCAAATGTTTATCATCCTCTTTATAAATCATAGACATCATCACCACTAAAACAGAACATGTTGAGAATTTATAACAGAGAACAAAACCCAACTTGGATTTAATAGTGATGTTTAGATAAGTTTAATTGATTAGGAAAATATATGTAAAATCACAACAAATAAGAATGAACTAGGAAAAATCTCACTATGCCTTAAAAGTTGGAACACAAAACAAATCCTTATAAGTTTTACATTCAACTCAAGGTAGAGTGGAAACGTTACAATTAACAGATAATAAAGGCGAAAGCATGATCAATTTTCAATGAAATTGTACATTAGCACACTAATTAAATCAGATAAGGTTTTTGAAAATGATAAAACAACCTGCTAATTAAAATTTTCATGTTTCTATGATCAACTAATTACCTGATAGAAACAGTAGGAAACAAGGAGAGTAAGGGAAACAACAAGAGAAATTATAATCGCTATACGCTCTCCAGAGGGCATATTGAGCAATTTTGGAAGTTGTACTATGATAAATGGAACCAAGGATAGAAGCATGATCTTTGCAGTATAATTGGTCTCCAGGTCTGTAACAACACCAAAGCCTGCAAACAAACTTTTATAAGATACATTTTTATTATAAGACTCCAAAGTTTCTATAGTATTTAATGACTATAGGCAGAAATTTCTAATATAATGGGAAGTGTTCAATAATGAGTTAATAAATTTCCTAATAGTATATTGTATTTATAAGAAATTATATATAATTATTTTCCTTTGGTGAAAAATAGATAAATAAAGAGAAACTTAAGTTAAAAGAGCAATGCCACAGTTTTAATTCATCTTAAAATGTGATTAATGATCAAAAGAACAAAAATTGTTCTCAAATGGATGATGAGAACAATGAAACAAACCAGTTAAGTGTGATCTTCTTGTAACTGAAATATCTGTTGGCTTTGAATCATTTGAAAGGTCATATTTTCCAACAGCAACAATGGAACCCCAAAGTATAGTTAGCAGCATGACAGTGGATCCAGCCAGCAAGGCCATTCCGATAACAGCCTGTTCTTGAGCAATTTCTATGCTTCCAGAGACTCCAGCCACTGAATATAAAAAAAAAGAAAATCTTTGATGAAATGTTGTTTATAACAAAAAGGGAATTGATTTCAAAATAATCCTGCAATTAATTAGTTCACTTGAATATAAATATCTTTACTGTCAAGAAGCTAGCAAAGGAAATAAATCTGAACCATGAAATGATTTTAGTTCCAAGTAATTTGTTCTATTGAATTACTTGAGATGGACCTAGAGAACCTGAAGTGGCTATGGTAATTTGGTAAGAGTGCACAAAGTGAATGCAAATTTGTTCAGATTGGAGCATGCAAACCCTGTTTGGTTTTGCATTGATAATTTTACAATGTCTTGGTTGGTTGTAATGGGTGTAAACATGAATCTCAAGGCTGGAACTAGACCAATTTACATTGACCAACTTTGAGTGCAAAGTTTGCACTTTTGGAAGTAAGCCTTGATCCTATTTCAATGCAAAAACAGCTGAAAACAAACAAATTTATTTTCATTTTCAGTGCAAAAACATATTCTTATCAAATTCCTGCAAACTGAAATGGAGTGCAAATTTGCTTCGATTTTGCACTCTTACCAAACACAGCCAAAACATTATACAACAATAAGTTGTGACTAAAGAGAGGTGGGGTCAGTCTTAGGCCCTGTTTGTTTTTCGGTAAGTTACTTATCCGGGTAAATGCAATTACATGGGCAAGTTTTTCTTGGGAAACACTTACCCAGGTAAGTGCATTTACCCATGTTCTTTTATTTCCTAGGTAAATAAGGTAATGACTATTTTATCCATAAAAACCCATTAATAAAAGGGGCATTTTTGTCCCATTCAAGTGTTAGTAACTTTCCCCCTAGGTGGGAAACTTATTTATCCACCTAGGAGATGGGTACCAGGAAAATAAACTTTCCCTCGACCCCACATAAATCTGAAAAATGAACATGAGATTCTTGGCCAATGGGAACCAAAATCCCATTGACCAACTTCCCCTTTTCAAAATCCAAAAAAAAAAAAAAACACACCCTTAGTGATTTGTTCAAATATCGACTCATTTCTAAACTTTAGACATAATTGCATATTTTTTGTGTTTGTTTTTCTTTTTTAATTCTCATGTAAAAGTTTTTTATTCCCGAGATGAGACCAAATCAGCCCCCCACAAGATTGTCCCCCACAACATCCCACAACACACGTGAATTGGGAACATCTCCCAATGATAATCCCATAAATGATGATGTCATCATTGGAAGATATTCTCAATACACGACGGGGATGTTCTGTGGGACGTTGTGGGGGGCTGATTTGAACTCTCCCGAGATTGCCTATTTTCCCAACAATACCCACTAAGGCTATGTTTGGTTTGAAGGAAAAGGTAGGAAAAGGAAGGGAAAGGTTGGAAAACCTATACAAGATTTGTAAAAGTTTCTTTACTTTTCCCTTCCTTCCCTACTTTTTCCTTCAAACCAAACACAGCCTAATGTAAGCTGTTAAGAAAGGAATTTCTTCCAAACAATTGCTTCTCAACCTCCATATATTACAGTAAAATTTTGATATGTAGTTTAATTTTGTTTGTTTAAAACAAAACAAATAAAAGTATAGAATAAAAACTATTCCATTACACATAGAACTATATTATTACTGTAATTAGTTACATGTTAACAAATCTAAGTCAACTTAATTTTGTATTAATTTAATGTTCCATATATTTTTAGACCAATCTATGTATTAAAATTCTGTTATAATTATGATAGAGATGGTTAGACTCTCCTTTAATTAATTTCCGGATGTATGGCCCAACTTAGGCATATATAGTTGTACGTTTCTCAAACCAATAACCACACCAATGTATGTGCTGCCAGTCAAATAGATTGAAAAGGCCAAAACTGAAATTGTCATTTAATTCTGGAACCAGGTTGTCCATGGTTTTCAAAATCGGATGGTCAGACTGGAAAAATCGGGAATCAGTCAGGTGACCGGTTCTATTTTACCCCTGAACTGTTATTTCACCAAAAAATCATTGATTTGGTCAGTAAACTGTTGATCTGAGTAGTCGAACTATTTGAATTGTTCATCAGTTTGATCATTTTTTTATTTTATTTTTTTATCAGAATGGGCCATCTGTTCGGTTCGAACGGTTAGATCGTTCTACCCAGGAACTGAACCCCTAACCAGTTCGTTGCCCAGTTCGGTTTTCAAAACCTTGAGGATGTCCCATCTCCCACAATTCTACAAAGCAAAATCTGAAAGCGATTATTGAACAAGAATGCACATGGACTAGGCTTAAACAAACAAAATCACGCCCGAATTTGTAGTCAGTCTCAGTTCTAAAGTGCCAAGAGATTAAGAAATTTAGTGAGCCAAAGTAGAATTAATGTTCAGAACCAAGAGGTCTCTTACTATTAGACAGTTATGCCCTTAGCTCCAATCAGAATGATGTACATTATGACATTTAATGTAAATGAATAAAGTACATATTTGATTCATGTTATTAT